TTTTAGAATATTTTTTACAGTATCTTAAAATGTGTTACTTTCTTGCCCCGGGTTCTACAATGCTTATACTTCCATAAAATTAAACAGCGCATAACAAAAAAAACTTTTTATTTAAACATTATTACCCCTAAGAAAAAAATAATTATTAATTTTTTAAAATCTTTTATGCTTCGAGAAATTTAAGTGGGTTCACTTTCTTTTCATTTCAAAGGGGGGAAAATATATATTTTTTTAAAATTAAGAGCAATATTTTCAATCCATTGACAACTTTAATATTTTCCCCAACATTTGCTTTTAATTCTAATGTTGTAGTTTTCCTTTAAGTTTAGATTTAGCACATTAATTTGAGTAACATTTGTTTCTACTAACAGAAAAATATTTAATATTTTTTTTTTCGTTTTCCATACATATCAAATTTTTCTCCCGATGATTTGTTTATTGAAAATAAGGAACTTGAATATTATTTAAAATACAAAAGACTGGTAATTAATGACAAGTTAAAATTTAGAGAAATGGAAAGGAAAAAATATATTTAAAGGCGTATGAAAAAAACCAAGGATATATATGCATTATATTTATTTATATATAATTAAACTTACTTCACAGTTCAAATTTATTAGTTCACTTGATGAAATATATTTGAGAAAAGACTGTAAGCAAATTAATAAAACAAATACAAATTTTAAATTTCTTGCATTAAATTTCATTTTGTGAAATACGTAAGATAAAGATTGTAAAATTAAATTCAATTATATATATAATCTGAAAAAGAACAGATCACAGTTGTCTTTAAAATTGGTTTGAATAAATCCAAAGAGATTTCGTGCATCCGATAGAAAAAGATAAAACAGTAAATGTGCCCCACTATAAACTCCACAACTTAATTTTGCTTTGATTCATACATGATCAATGCTCATAAATTAAATCAAGCAAAATAACTCTCATGTTGTTTGCAACTAATTTGTTGCTAGAAGAATAAATTTACTAAAATTCGAGATTCTCTGTAAAAATATTTTTTTGTATATATATTAACTATATATCTTATTATTTTTGTAGTAACTTAAAAGAGTTCATTTTTTACTGTGATTCTTAACAAAGTTGAAGCTGATGCATATATTAAAGGTGAAAACTCCCTGTTAAAGTTGAGTTTATTAGAATAGTATTGGATAGCATTAAACTCGTACATATATATATATATATATATATATATATATATATATATATATATTAGAATAGTTGTTGTTTCTAATGCCCCCTGTCTGACGTAGTCAGATCTAGGCCCACGAATTTTATCGTGGCAAGGGGCTAAAAGTACGCCTGTCGTTGGCCTTGAGCACCATACAGGTGACAGTACGAATCAGCTCGGTGAAATTTCCCGAAGGGGCGATAGATGGCGACACCACCTATCTCCACAATTTAGGCATGGAACTGAAGGAGAGGGAAATATTCTCCAGTCCCCTGCACTCGTTATTCAGCCCACAAGACTTTCTGACCCACTGATTTAACGAGCACGTACTCCGTGTGTACTCGGAGGGTATTGAGGGTATATGGTGGCACGGGCATCGAACCCAGGCCTTCCGGTCTAGAATCCGATGCTCTTACCACTAGGCTACCCACGGTGCATTAGAATAGTATGTGTAACAGTGGTCTCTTCAAACTTTTTCAACTCACGGAACCCCTAGATTTTGAAGGTGTTTTCGGGGAACCCCTAGAGCTAGAAAGTGTTTTCGTATTAGAACCCTATTCCACACTTTTTGTTAAGGCAATTAAAAGGATTTGCTTTTATTATTAAAAAATTCTAATATAATATTTTAACACATTTTACTCATTAATAATATTAATTTGTGATCCAAGTGTCGCTAACCCGTGTATTATATTTAGTAACTGGGATATGAGCTTGCTTTTTTTCACAAAAATTGTCGAAGTCTATATCTATCAAAATTATCTGCATTCGCATTTCATATTTTGCGTTTGATTTGTTTTTATACTTTGCTTTTGCAGCCACTTACATTGAGAAATATAATAATTAATAACCTGGTATATAATAATTAATAACCTGTAACATTATATTATAACGGAATTACAAAGTGAACTTAAGATATATCGATAGTAAATATCAAATATTACTAATATCCAAGCGAAGGCTTCATAATATATTAATAACAGACAATTTTATTTTGTTGATAATAAATAAAAGATATATAAATGAGAAAATGTAAAAAAAAATATTCTTTTCAAAACTGGAATTCGAGCAAACGACACATTTAATAGTTCAGGAGCTCTCACGGAACCCGTGGAACCAATATTTTTTTTTAAATTTTGTAATTGTTATATTTGTGTGTTTATGGATATCATTGTTACATCTCTGGTAAAGTCCTGAACATGTACTCGATATTTAAAAAAATTTTTTTTAAATATTTATAAAGATTTTTACTGTTAATATTTTTATATAGTTTCGGATCCTTCTTAAGTAATTATATCTTCTTTACGTAAATACGGGATTTACAACTCGAGATACCCAACTGAGAACTCCTCTTTCACCATAAGGCTTACTGTCTTTTGTAAGCGCAGATAACGCTCCTCCGGGATTCTTTAACGATTTTTCTTTAGATTCTTAGTGCTTATTGTTTTCTGTGGCCGCGGTAGCCGAGTGGTATAGGTATCGGACTGTGGCTTGCTTTGTCACGGGTTCGAGCCCAGTACCACTAAAGACCCGCCGTGTACGGCAGCGATGCACGTTAAATCTGTCGAGAGCTGAAACGTCCTCCCGTTGGTGTGGTGTGGTATTTAGGAGAGAGGGGTGCCAGCTCAAGTGTTGTCCACGTCACTTGACCATGGTTCAAAATTACGTGGTCCGTCGCCAAAAGCCCTTGTGTAGCTGAACAGTGCGACGTTAATATTCAATCAATCAATCAATCGCTTATTGTTTTCTCTTTTTTTCCCCTTCTCCTTACGTCGAGGTCAAAGACACGATAATCATTTATACGATGTATGATTACTAATAAATTAATGAAGTTTTGGCGCGAGTTAGCCAAAAATATGCCTTTTTTAACACCAAAATCCAAACAGTCAACTGTACCAATCCAAAGTTTTTGGAAATAAATTGGATATGAGTGAGTGCGTGAGAATTATATTAACGCCATACTCAATGGTGCATACAAAGGGGGGGAGGTCCCCTGGGTCCGAACCCCTCCCCCCAAAGCCCTTGGTTTTTTTCGGTTGATTATAATCCTACGTGTATAGTACGCAAAATTTAATTTAGTATTTGTTATTAATAACTAATTTTATTAATTAATGCTAAGTATTTATTCGATGATTAATTTTTTACTGTTTTTTCTTCCCGAAAATCGACAAAATCAAAGGAATATGTCAAAACATATTGGAGCATGAAAGATGGACTTTCGGCTATGAATCCCCTCTCACCTTGAAAAATTCCTATGTGCGCTACTAGCCATTATATATATATATATATATGATAGATACGAAATATCCTGTACTGAGTAGATTTTTTTCTTGCTTGTTAAATATTCTGTTTATGTTGTAGTCTTGACATATTTTAGGAGATTTTTTACTTGTTACTTTTTATTATTTCTTTATCAGGACATTTCAACAGAACACATAGAACCTAATATCTAAAAAGACAAAAGCAAACAGGCGAAAACAAACAACGACGTTTACAAGAAAGCTAGCACACAAAGAGAATGAGCGCAAAAGAACTTTCGCTTTTATACCGGCTGTGAAGATCGCGTGACTCCTTTCTAACATGAAACATGATTGGTTAGAATCGGCAGGAGCGAGTATTATGATGCAATGTTACTATTCTATTACGATTAAGCTTAACTTGTTAGTACTGATCAACAGTATTAAAAGTTATTTAAAGAAAATTATTTAACAGGGTACTAGAGGGAATTATGACATATATATATATATATTTGCATCTTTAACATTTATCGACCTCTAAATATTTTAATAATTATTTTTATTAAAATTATTCTTAAAAATGTCTATAATAAAGCAAAATCTAAATGTCCCAATTTAACACATTACAAAAACTCGTTCGATATTTAATTATTCATATCTTATACATTTTTATTTGAATTTTCCAGCCACTAAATTCCAGTCGGAACAGAAATATTCTATTTGAAAAAATAGAAGAGGCCTGTTTCTTTAAACTTTATAAATACCTTCACGAATAAAGTCGAACTCAACCCGACGGCTGAAATCCGATATATCGCGGGAAAAAATGACATCAGAATGTATGGGATAAAGGGAACACGTTCCTTGCCTTGTCCGGCCACGAAAGAAGTTTAAGCCAGTTTGAGATAGGAACAAGCGTCAATTCGATTTCTTGTAAAACTACAGAGAAGGAATTGTAAGATAAAACGCGATGTCACGTTTACGTTGAATGCACATTTAATTCAATCGATCTAAAAAGAATAAAATACTTTTTTTCCTACTCTGCCATTCATAATTAAAATTTCATGGGGTGAGCTGATTATGAATAAAAAAAATGAAGTATTTAAAAAAATAAAATTGTCCTACTGCACACATACGAGTTAAGAAAGAAATTGTTCAAAGTTGTCATTCCCGAATTTTGATATTTCGAAAACTCAATGGAATATTTTTCGTGAAGTTATATATATAATGCTCTTCATAAAGAATACTTTGATTAGCAAAATGTATTTTAATTTAATTTTTTTAAAACAGTTTGATATTATGTTAACGCTTCCTGCAGTAAAGGTGACCCCTGTAACTATTCTGAAATCTGTAATAATTTTTAAGATGCATCAGGAATTCTGTTGTTGTCGCGTGTTTTTACCCTGGGATACATATGAAATACAAGTGGTAGAACAGAAACATACAAAACAAACAGAAGAATATAGACATTTATTACAAATGATGATCCCAGCACATAACAGAAAGGTGCGCTGCTTTCCATTCGAGACGGGAATCCATTGCAGGCGGATGTCCGACTTCTTTTCACGCAGAAAATACATTCATGCCTTACTCGGGATTCGAACCCGAACCCACTCGGTTACAAGTCAAGGGTAATATTCACCATACTGGCTGGGCTGGGTGTTTTGTGTATAAAAAATGGATATGAACCCTTAAATTGGTTTTGGAGAAGAGAACTCGTGTTTCTTTAAGCTTTCTGATGAGGGTTTTTTTTTTTGTATTCTGATGAAACCTAGATATTACTCCATAGTTGACATATCTAAGACAGAATCATTAAAAATATGTTATAACTTTAATCTTGATTGTGTTTCTATCACTGTTACCGCGAACATAGACTGTCATTTAATCCAAACATGTAATTTCCAATTAATTTCGGAGAAAAAGGCTTGCTTTGCAAAATCTTCAAAAAAATACTTTAAATAAATACATTTTCTCGAATATTTTGAGAGCATCATCAAGAATATTAAATATCGGTGTGTAATAAGAACTCTAAAATTATTTTTCTGTTAAATAAATGTTTCTTACCCTTTTTGTGCATTGTAAAAATATACAATATATTAAAAATATATTTTTTTAAATGTTATGAATTTATTTTTGTTTTTACGCGATAATAATAAATTTACTTTTTATGGAGGGTCCTCAAACCAGTGACTATATAATTGGAATTTTATCCGAAAATTATTTATGCAACGTTTTTATACGAGAGAAATGTGCATCTATGAATTCATAAGGGACATGCATTTTTTAATATTTTCCTGTCGTTCATATCAAAAACCTTATTTGCTTATGCAAGTTGAAAAGCAAGCTCCCAGAATATAAATTTTAAGTTCCTCAGGTCCCTGTGTTCTTACATACCAAAGCAAAATAAAATGAAAGTGGTAGAAGTACACGAACTCTCCACAGGGGTCGTTCGCGCTTATCCGGTTTTTCATTGCATTCGTGACTAGGCATCAGCACCTTTAATTTTTTTTCCTTTTCTTTTTCATTTTCTTTCCTCCTTTATTTTGCCCGTTAGCTGATTTTTTCCATCTTTTGTACAAGAACACAATACGCGCTTTGGAGAAAAAGTTAAACTGTTAAGCATTCTTAAGCTGATCATTGAAAAACGTAAGAAAACACTTTAAATCCCCCTGCAGATGAACTCGTCATACATTCTCGGAAACAGCATATTTTTATGCGTTTTTTTTTCCAAATGCATAAGCATTTTTTAAGCTTGTGTTTTCTTGAAAGACACTGGTGGAGTTGAAAAACAACTACGAAAAAAAATTTTAAAATAAAAAAGCGCTTTCAGTGTGCACGTTTTGTGGAGTATTTCGAAATAAAGTACAATTCAAAAGACTTTTAAATCTTCTGTTTCTGCGAAAATCGCCAGAAATAAATTAAAAAATAACGACTGTCATGAAAAGATGGATGAGCATTACGAATACTTTATTATAGTTCTCGTTTTCGATGAGAGAACTGTGCGCGCTGATTCCTATGCTTCTGTTGTTTTTTTCACTCTGATGCCGGTGTAATTATGGAGGAAAGTAAATTACACCATTCTCACAAAGCAACTCTACCGAAATAAAAGTCTAATCGCTTGTAAGAATAAAAACATACGAGGTTGCACAGTTCTAGAAATAAATGCCAAATTTAACAAGTTTGGAATGTTTTTCTCCAATAAAGAACAAGAAATTTAGGTTGATGAGAACGTTCAAGACAATGGAAATTATATAGCAGAGTTCTAATTTTTTTTAAATATAAAAAATAAAGAAAGATTTCGCCAAAGGAATAATCGGAAGCCTTTCTCAAAGCAACATTTATTTATGATTCTTCTAAACTATGAATTGTGATGTCTGTATTAAGCGACAACTAAAAATCGCCTGTCTAATCCAAAATTAAAATTATATATATAAGGTTTTCTTTTCTTTCCCCCCAAAGGACTGCATTTTTATGTTTTTCCCATTGAAAGTCATACGGCCATTTATTAACGCTCGAGGTTTGTTTTTGAGAAGAAATCCCTTTCCAGTTTTTCCCTTAGTCACGAAAGTGTAAATTTCATCAACAAACGTAGAAAGCGACAAAAATTACTTTTGTATTTCACCACACATGGGATTTCTTTTGAGGATTGAAAACTAGTGTATGAAATGGTACTTCTTTGATGAAAAAGAACTGCTGGAAAATTCTATCTCTTCTGACCTTCTCCTTCTGTGTCTATGTGCATTCATAAATTTTTATGAAGACATTATACCTTTTCTGTATAATAGAAAAATGAAAAAAAAACCTAGGTGATACATTTCTTTTATTATCTGCTTTATTTTGAGATATATATCCTGGTGCAGCAAAGAATTGTACTGACAAAAAATATATTCCCCGGTGGTTTATTTTATTATGCTTATTGATGTCTCAGAGAACTACAGTATAATAAAACATATCAACCACAGAAAGTAGGAGGTATTTAACCGTATGCGCCGTTAAGTTTATCTCAGATACTCATAAATACACAGAATATTCTAGAGATAGTTAATGTTTTCTTTTTGTTAAAAGGAAAAGAAATATTTGTTATATATTCTTCAGTTTTCGATAACTGTGACTTGTAAGTTAAGTTATTTTTTAAGTCAGGAGTGGGCATTAAGTCGATCGTTATCGACTGGTGAACCGCCAAGACATTTATGGGAGACCGCCTGAAGATTAGCAGTTTGAAATAAAAAAAATGGAATATTCAAGATTGGCAAGGCAGTATACAGACTATATCTTCTATTGGCTACAATTCAGTGCTTCTCAAACTTTCAATACTTGCGACCCAATATTCAATCACAATTTTTATCGCGCCCTCCTTCATACAATAACGATGTATTGAATACGATAATACGATACTTTGACGCTAACGACTTTAACCTCTTCGCCACCGGTGTATATAAGCGTCTCGCTCAGCCAATGCGTAAATTGCACCGAACCTATATATAAGTCTTTCCGAAATATGTTCACTACTATCCATAAAATTATTCCGAAGACTTTGGAATGCAATGAAATAACCTTAACATTGATTGAGAAGAATTTACTTATTTCGGAGGATCTTCTTATTTTCCCTTTCTCCCTCCCCCCAAATCCACCACATATGCGTACATACGTGGAAAACGGTGGTATTAGGGAAAGAATCACGTAACTTTTAATCTGCAGCTTAGGGATTAATTACAAGCCGTACAAATGATCCAGATAAGTGTTAATGTTTGCAAGTAATTTTACATATGACCATCCGATGCGCGCGCGCGCGGTCACTGATAATTATTAAACTTGTTCTTAACTTTGTATTGTTAAGATAATTATAAAGTTCATTGCGCAGTATTAATACATTTATAAGTGTATTATATCAGTGTGTAAATGTTTTTTTCATTATGACAGAATTTACTTTGTTTTACTTTTAAAAAATTAATAATTTTTTGAAATAATCTTTTGCTTTCGACTTTTCAGTATGCTCGCGCCCCCTTCTAGGGTTATCACGCTCCCCTAAGAGTCCCCACAGTTTAAGAAGCGCTGCTATAATTACAAGAACTAACTTCAGATGAACATGTTTTATTTTATAATGTATTTTGAATTGTTTGATAGTAAATGCATCGTTCGATAATAGTATACATATTTGTGGCTATTATTATGTTTGTATTTTTGGTTTGTTTTAAACACAGTCATAAGGGTGTAAGTTTTTTTGTTGTAGTTATATAAATAAAAGTACATGTTCTGTATTTGTTATTAAGTTATAATACATATTTCAAACCTTTTCTTAGCTCACCTCTGATGTATTAAAATATGAATAAATCCACTTCTAAATAATATCTTTGAAAAATCCTAGTTTGGGCACTGTGGAAATCTTAGTTATATATAGGCAAAATATTCGTATTATAGAGACATTTTCCATAAAAGGAGAATGTTTTGAAAATAGGTAATTTTCTTTCTTCATTTTTTTTTTTGCAAAAAATTGCCTTTAAGGTATCCGACTACGTTTGGAACTGGGATTTTGGAAAAGCTTATAAATGGATAATATATATGATATTTAGAGTTACTTAGATTAGGAAACATATATAAAACTGTTTTAAGAATATCATTATAATAAAAAATTATTTAAGTACAATATTTTGACGAACAATGAACATAGAACGGCCCATTTTCAAAACATTCTCCTTTTATGAAAAATGCTTCGATTGTAATAATACTTTGCCTGTATATATCTCAGACCTCTGTACAGAGGCTGAACAAGAATTTGTGATATATATATATATAACTTAGAAGTGGATTTATCCATATTTTACTCCAACAGAGGGGGAAAATTTTAAGAAAAAAACGTTGATAATCATTTCAATTGGAGGTAACTCTAAAAATAATGTGAAATTTTTCAAAAATCCTAGTTCAGACTCTCTAGAGAATTCTTTACTTTATATAAGCCCAATATTATTATTATAGAAACTTTTTTTATAAAAGGAGAACGTTTTGAAAAAAAGGGTATTCTAAGTTAATTTTTTGCCAAAATATTGTATTTAAATAATTTTTTCGTCATAATGTCTTTAAAACTATTTTATATTTGTATTATAATCTAAGTGACACTAAATATCATGAAAATTATCTATTTATGCGCTTTTCCAAAATCACGGTCCCGAACGTAGTCGGATACGTTAAATAAATTTTTCTTGTAATATTGTTCTTAAAACAATTTTATATGAATATGCTAATTCAGGTAAGAGATACTAAATATCAAAAAATTTATTAATTTATCCGTTTTCATCCGTTTAATTTATACATTCCGAACGTTGTCGGATATGATAAATGCAAAGGAAATAATGAACTGGATTTTTTTTCCTAAACTGAATTGAAAAATAGGCAATTTTTGCTTTTGATTATATTCATTGAAGTAAAACCCAGTGGGATTTGAAATGTCACACATTTTTGAACTCTTTATTTTCAATTAGTAATTTTTTCAGTAAGTTTAAAGTTTTATTTTGATTTGAATTGAAATCTTCAGTTTAATAATTTATCTCTATAGTTTTTGTTTATAGTCATTGTTAATTAATCTATTTTTACTTTTTACTTTTATGTGGCAGAAATTACATTTATTTGATAATATACTCTAAAAGTGAGAAAGTCGCAGG